GAGAACATAATTATACTTATTACTAATCAGGTAATATTTATATCTGCAGGTGTCAGTGTGTGTCCAGTGTGTGTGTGTGTGTGTGTGTGTGTGTGTGTGTATGTGTGTGTGTATGTGCATTGCCTGTGGTTGAGTGTATTAGCGTGTGTGTGTGTGTGTGTGTGTGTGTATATTAACCATATGTGTCCTGTATGTACAGTATGTATATATGTGTGTGTATGATCGTGTACGTACATATGACCGTGTGAGCAGCCGCTGGTGGTTGTACACGTCGTCGGGATGAACGATGGGGGGGGGGTTATTGCCTTATCTCTCACCCTTATCTCTCGTGGAGATAACTCTATTATCTCTGATAGCCAGCCCTGGATGGCGTCTCTCTCACTCTCTTTCTCTCTCTATCTCTCTCGTCCCCCCCCTCTCTCTCTCTCTCTTCCTTTGCTCTTTTTCTTTTAGTTTTCTCTCTATCTCACATTCTGTCTCTCGTCTCTCTCTCTTTTATTTCCTTCCTCTCTTTCTCTCTCTCTCTCACGGTAACTTAGGACGCCTGGTCGGGCTGGTTGGCTGGGATCAAAGTCCTCCTCCCATCTCTCAAGGTCAGGGAAGGTGGTTGGTAGTTCCCCTGCGTGTTGTAACGTGAAGAAAAACCCACTCGTATGGGGGCTCTGGCTTGATATAATTAGTCCTTGTCCCTCTCGTATGGTATTTGTGGGGTTAGGTTAGGTTAGGAACACACACTCACACACACACACACACACACACACACACACACACGCACACACACACACACACATATTGGTCTAGCATTTTTCCTTGTTTGTCCCTTAACACAAAGACACAACAGGACAAACAGCCATACAGACAGACAGATAAAGCCGTAGTTTTTGTCATAACAACCACATCTATACTACTATCTCCTCACTAGATAAACCTTATCGTGAGGCGTTGTCATTCACGTTAATAAGCAAGACGATGAAGATGTTTGTGAGAGAGAGAGAGAGAGAGGGGGGGGGGACAAATCACCCTTTCACTATTTACTAACTTTCAATATAACGCCTTAGTAGTGTCACAGTTCCTTAGTGCCTCTTCTACCGTCTACACCAATGTCAACAAATAAACAACAACAGAGCCAGGTAGTGTAGTGTTAGTCAGCAGCCGCCGCTACACACTACACCTCTCCACCTATCATATTGGACGAGTGGTGTACTTATGTGCTCTGTGTAAACATGTATAAGGGAGGTATGGTGAGATAGTCTACTTCCTGTGTGTAAACAAGAGGTGAAGAAGGAGGAATTGTTTGTCTTGTTTTCTTCTCTCCATGTGTGTAGAGTTTTTGTTTATGTCGTGGGGTAAAGTAGGGGCTAAGGTGTTGATATCCGAGGTCTTGATGTTTTAGCAGGTATGGTGGGTTACTTACTATCTTGGCGGGATGTAGTCGGTTTATCGGTTAATGTAGAAGGGCTATTGTAGTACCAGGACTAGTGTAGTACCAGGGTTAGTGTAGTACCAGGGCTCGTGTACCAGGGCTCGTGTACCAGGACTAGTGTAGTACCAGGGTTAGTGTAGTACCAGGGCTCGTGTACCAGGGCTCGTGTACCAGGGCTCGTGTACCAGGGCTAGTGGAGTACAGGGGTCGTGTGCTGGGCTAGTGAAACAGGGTCGTGTACCAGGGCTCATCTGGGGCTCGTGTGCCAGGGTTAGTGTAGTACCAGGGCTCGTGTACCAGGGCTCGTGTACCAGGACTAGTGTAGTACCAGGGTTAGTGTAGTACCAGGGCTCGTGTACCAGGGCTCGTGTACCAGGGCTCGTGTACCAGGGCTAGTGGAGTACAGGGGTCGTGTACAAGGACTAGTGAGGAACGCCCTACCATACAGTGTTTTTCTTCTGCTATACAATCTCCATCAGTTCAAATCATCCTGCTTCAAGTATCTTCAGTCTCTGGCAAAGGGACGAAGCCTCACTACATAGACCTGGCAACGGCACTTGTCTCATCTCTCCCTCAACTGGACACAGAGGCTGGAGGCCGCGGTGTGGATGGATCTACCTGACTTGGAGAGCTTTATGGTCGCGTGTCCGTTGATGGTGATAGAGGTGAGGCGATAATGTTAATGTGTAGCTGTGATAGTAAATTCATTTGTGTCACTTCTTGACGTCGAGTCGCTGATACAGTAGGAGCTGACGAGGCGGGAGGGGGGGGGGGCTCAATTCCTCCCGCGGTGGTGGTCCTCCTCACGCTGTCACACACAGGGAAACGGGAAGACAGTCTCCTAAAGGTCTTGATCCATCTTTGGCGTGGTTGCGTGCGTGGATGCGTGCGTTGTTGTAATGTATTAGAATGATTTACGAAGTAAATAAAAGGAGTTAAGGTAGAAGTCTGTCACGAGCCAACAGGAGGCATCAGCGAGGTGCATCGAACAGGTCGTTGAGTTGTAACGAGTACGGACTATTACACCCAAGTGGTGTTTTCCTACATCGACGATGATCATTTTTCGCGGCGTTTCATGAGGTGGGAACACGTCAGACTGCAGGGGCTTCAAGAACTAACTCCCAGAAGCATTCTATCACCAGCAGCAGCAGCCAGCTCCCACACACTCAAGAGGTACACCCCAATTTCAAGAATGTTATCAAGTGCTCGATCACGACGCTGATAAGACCAAGTACTGCCGGGAAGAAATCATCCCTCCATTAATACCCTAAACATCACCAAAAGATGCCCTTAAACCCCTGATCGTCATCCCTAAATACCCAACAACTACGACCAAGACAACCTCTAAAAAACACTACAAATCTAAAACTCAAAATCTGATTGGTCGAAGCATTGGAATGAGATGCGGACGTATGTGTAGCCTAGAGGGGGATCTACCCGACAGGTGATTGGTTCATCTTTCCACAGAGTAGTGTAAGTCTCTAGCCACTTCTGGTTTAAGCCTCAGAGGACCTTGTTGGCATTAACACTTTCCTTTGAGTATCTAAAGCTGTGTTTTAACCAATTGGTCTCAGTGCCATGGTGAGGTGGAGGCTGAACACGTTAGGGGGTATTGTTACGGTAAGATTATGTAGGGACGGTAGGTTATGGTTAGGTTAGGTTAGGTTAGGTTAGGTTATGGATAAATGCTTTTGTGGGCTATGATTGACTATTATATATCCTAGTTTAGCTGTTGGATGACCTATGATTGAATCTTTGTATGGATTACGATTACCTCTGATTATATAACCTATGATTGGGGTCTTGGCTTCACTGCTCAACAAGGTACCAACATGCTTTCCTTCTGTTTATTTTTTATCAGTGACGGTGACTGTGAAGCTCCCATAAATCATAACGACTTGAAGCTTATAAATGAGATGAGAGATGACATGACAGAGATGATTGTAGTTCATATCAAGTACCGTGCAAAACAGTACATGGTTTATTTTGGGTACAGTTCCTCTCTGATTGTATCTCTGTAGTGGCTCTGCTAAATAAAGTCTCTCTCTCTCTCTCTGGCGGTGTACACCCTCGTTAACAGTACATACAGTACATAGAGCCCCTGTACACTCCCCCGTCAAAGCAACGTCTATCAGTTTGGGTATACGCCGCAACACGTACCCAAACCCACGTACTCTACAACCTACGGTACCCACGCCCACGTACCCCACAACCCACGCCCACGTACCACACAACCCACGCCCACGTACCCCACAACCCACGCCCACGTACCACACAACGCACGCCCAAGGACCCCACAACCCACGCCCGCGGATTATCAGTTTTTAGTACGATCATATTTTTCTCTGGGAGGAGATATGAGAAGGTACCCATCTGCCTCACTAAAGCCGCAACGCGAAGATGGATTGTCAGTCATGTTGGTTCCTACTGCTGGCTGCTGATGTGTCGGTGATTCTTGCTGTCTCCCTTAAGACACGATGTAACAATGGCTTCTCAAACACCCTTACAAGTTTTTTTTTCAGATCACATGAAGAATAGACACGCTAACTTATTTCACCTGAAGATTAACTATCGTAATGTTAACCTAACCTAATCTTATTTAACGTAAATTAATCAAACTTTAACTAACATACCCTAACGTCAGGTGTAATAAGCTGGGATGACTATGTATGAACGTATCTTAAGGGCCTCACTTAACCTACGACACAAAGATGGATTCTCAAAGAGTCTTACACTAATTCTTATCCCACCTATAAGGGACAAGATGTGAGCCTCTAGCAAGTGTTCTCATATCTTATAATAAGGGGTTGAATTATGAACCCTCTCCCCCATCTCCCCTTCCCCCTTCCCCTTCCACTCTCCCCCTGTCTTCCTATCCCTCCCCACAACCAAGTTATCTCTCCTTGTCAGGCTGTTGTGATCTTCTCCCCATCTTTGTTAACTTATACTGTGTGTGTGTGTGTGTGTGTGTGTGTGTGTCTTTCCAGCCTCCCTAGCCTCCCTCTAGAAGCCAACCCAACCAACTCACCCCAAATCAAACCGGTGTGTCTGTCCCTCCGGCCCACCCTAGCCTGCCCACTTCATCCTGCCCACCTTAACTTACCCACCGTAGCCCACCCATCGCAGCGGGGATCGATGAGCGCTGGCGATATGATAGTCAAGCTCCGTCTGAAGCGCCTCACCTTGGAACATAATGGTTACCGCTGTACCTCCAACTCGACCCTTTGAAAGTCGGCCCCATCCCCTCACACTTACTGGCGTCCTGGTGACCTCTGACCTAGCTGGGGAGGTCAACGAGAAATGCGAACGATACTCCAATAAACCCAAGAAAGATTGATGAGAACAGATTGTGGTTAGAGGTGAGGGAAGATGAGATAGAAGTGAGAGAAGAGGAGAAGGGAAACGGAGGAAAAGAGAGAGAGAGAGAGACAGAGTTCGTATTGGTAAGGTAAAAAAGAGTCATTCTGTGGGTTTTCAGACGTAGGGCGAACTGATAACAGGGCAAGGAACGCGTAGTCTTATCATCACTAATAACAGCGGCCAATACCACACACACACACACACACACACACACACACACACTTTCTTCTCCACTCGTATGTCAGTCGTCAGTCTCCCACCTTACTCATCACCGCCAACACCACTCATTTAACCACTGGACAATCTGGTTTTAAGTCCCTCCTCGCTATCAACACCACCACGACACAAGAGTGACCCACGGTAAGCTGGTGCGTGGTTGTGTTATTGTCTCATAGAGGTTTATGTTTCTTCAACCACAGAGTAAATCACACACAGCTATAACCGCGAGATAAACATAGAGACACTTACGCAACCACAGGACAAACACAGACAGACACATACACACACAACCACAGCCACAGGACAAACACAGACAGACACAACACACACACAACCACAGCCACAGGACAAACACAGACAGACACACACACACACACAAACCACAGCCACAGGACAAACACAGACACAACACACACACAACCACAGCCACAGACAAACACAGACAGACACACACACACAACCACAGCCACAGGACAAACACAGACACAACAC